TTGGGACCCCCCAATTGTTAACCCGCAAATTCTCGCCCGGAACCTACCAACGCCCCCTCCCCCCGCGTCCACCACGCCCCAGTTCCCCCCCCCCCCACACGGCCCCCACGGCAACTCTGTTCTTGGGACCACCCAACCCGCAAATTCTCGCCCGGAACCTACCAACGCCCCCGCCCCGCCTCCACCACGTCCCGCCCCCCCCCCCACGGCAGCTCTGTTTTTGGAACCGCCCAACCTACAAATTCTCACCGGGACCCTACGACGCCCTCCTCCCCGCCGCCACCACGTCCCGCCCCCCCCCTCCCCGCGGCAACTCTACTCTTGAGACCCCCGAACCCACAAATTCTCGCCCGGAACCTACCCACGCCCCACCCCCCGCCTCCACCACTCCCGACCCCCCCCACACGGCAGCTCTGTCCACAAATTCTCGCCCGGAACCTACCAACGCCCCACCCCTCGCCTCCACCACGCCCCAGCACCCCCACTCCACGGCAGCTCTGTTCTTGGGGCCTTCCAACCTACGCATTCTCGCCCAGAACTTACCAACGCAAGAGACATTCTGGCTCGTTTCGCCGGAGACATCTTCGCAATTTTGCGCTCAAAGATGCCCTGATCTGAGATGGTCTAGCCGGTCTCGCTTCAGACAATCTTGCAACTCTGGGGTGAGAGATACCGTGACATGAGGTGGTCTGGCCCTTTTCGCCTGGGACATCTTCGATGGGGGCCCGAAGTGTCCGGACTTAAGGCGGCCCAGCCAATTTTGCCTGCGCCATCCTCGCCACTCGGAGCCCGCGGATGCCGCGCAAGAGGTTGCCCAACCAATTGTGCCTGAGACATCCTCGCAACACCAGGGCTCCAAGATGCTGCACGCGATGTGGTCCGACCAAGTTCGCCCGTGACATCCCCGCACCTCCCGGGACATCCTCGCGACTCTGGGCTTGGAGACCTGAAATGGTCCAGCCTGTTCTGCCTGCGGCTTTCCTCGCAGCTCTGATATCCGAGGTGCCGCGCGCGAAGTGGTCTGGCCGACTGCGCCAGGGGCATCATCCCGACTCTGCGCTCCGAAATGCCGTTTCGCCTGACACATCCTCGCAACTCTGGGCTCCCAGTTGTCGCGCTGGAGGTGTTTCCTCGTCGCCATCGTCGTCGTCGTCGGCGTCGTCGTCGGCGACGTCGTCGTCGCCGTCGTCGTTGACATCGTAGCCGTCGTCGTCGTCTCCGTCGTCGTCGTTTTCGTCGTCGTCATCACCACCGCTGTGCTGTCCTCGTCGTCGCCGCCGCCGCCGCCGCCGAAACAGACGTCGTCGCGGCCGCCGGTGCCGCCGCTGCCGAAGCCACTGCAGTCCTCGTCGTCGCCGTCACCACCGACGCCGCTCTCGCCGCCGTCGTCGCCATTGTCTTCGGCATGGTCGTCGTCGTTGTCGTCGTTGCCGGCGCCGCCAGGTCGCCGACGCTATCGTCGTCGTCGTCGTCGTTGTCGTCGTTTTCATCATAGCCGCGCGCGCCGCTGTCACCTTGGTGGTCGTGGCAGCCGTCGCCGCCACCGCTTCCGATGATGGCGTCGTCGTCGTTGCGTGGTCCTCCTCCTCGTCTTCTGCCTCGTCCCCGCCCTCCTCGTTATCTTCTCATTATTGCCACTGCCTTTCCCTCCCGTCGCTGGGCCCCACATAAGGTCCGCAAAAAGTTTACATTGGAAATCGACGTCGTCCCCGTCGCCGCCGCAGCGGTGGTGATCGTCGCCGCAGCGCGTGCGCTGGCTGCCCCCCGGCGGGAACATGCCAACCACTCAGCAAAACTGCGCGTCGCAACAGTTCGTCAGGTCACAGGGGGGATGCGCAGATTCCTTCGACGCCTGTCAACAAAAAGAAGCAAGACGAAAACAACGAAGAGTTCAGAGTTGCAAGGATGTCTCGGGCGAATCGAAGATCACCACAGGTCAGGGCATACACGGGCCCAGAGTTGCGACGATGTCTAAGGCGAAAAATGCCCCAAGGCAAGACTTGCGAGGATGGGATGTCTCAGGCGAAACTGACAGGACCACCAGTTGCGTGGCATCTCGGGGCTCACAGATGCCGCGCGAAAGATTGTCCGACCTCTTTCGCATGAGACGTCCTCGCAATTCTGAGCTCCAAAATGCCGTGACCTGAGGTCCAGCCCGTGTCGCCTGAAACACCCTCGTAACTCTGGGATCCTATGCCGTGACCTGAAATGGTCCAACCCCTTTCGCCTGAGACATCCTCGCAACTCTGAACTCCTAGATGCCGCGCGAGCGTTGGTCCGGCCCTTTCGCCTGACGCGTCCTTGCAACTCGAAGCTCCCAGATACCGTGACCTGATTTGGTCCGGCCCGTTTCGCCTGAGACATCCTTGCAACTCTGGGTTTAGAGATGCCCTGACCTGAGCAGGTTTGGCCCATTTCGCGTGAGACATCCTTGCAACTCTGGCCTCAGAGATGCCGCGACCTGAGGTTGCCCTGCCCATCTCGACTGAGACATCCTCGCAAAGCTCAGAGATGCCCTGTCCTGAGTTGGTCGTGCCAATTTTACCTGAGATATCACGGGAACTCCGGGCTCCGAGATGCCGCGCAACAGGCGGTCTGGCCGGTTTCGCATGAGACCTCTTCATAAATTCGGGCTCAGAGATAGTGCGCGAGAGGTGGTCCGACCAATTTCGCCTGAGACATCCTCCCAACTATGGACTCGAAGATGCTGCGCGCGAGGTGGTCTGGACAATTCCGCCTGAGACATCCTCCCGACTCTGGGCTCGGAGATGCCGCGCGCGAGGTGATCCAGCCCGTTTCGCAAAAAAACATCTTCGCGCCTCTGGACTCAGAGATGCCCTGACCTGAGGTGGTCCGGCTCGTCTCGCCTGAGACATCCTTGAAACTCTTGGCTCGTCGCCTCACACATCCTCGCCAGACTACGCTCCGAGACGCCCTGACCTGAGGTGGTCCAGCCAATTTTGATCTACGTAGACGTCCTCGCCAGGGCTCAAAGATGCCACGCGAGGTCCAGCCAGTTGCGCCTGAGACAAGCTCGCAACTGCAGGCTCGACGATGCTGCTCGCGAGGTGGTCCCTTGAGATATCCTCCAAACTCCTGGGGCATCCTCGCAACTATGGGTTCGGAGGTGCTCGAACGTCGCGAACATAATAACATGGGAAAGGAACAAGCGTAGTGCGTGCACAACACGTGGATACTGCGATGGAAACAATCGACACTACCGCGCCGCAACAAAAGCATACAAAAAATGTAGCCCAAACCATTGCACACAACAGTGTTTTTGAGAATGCAGCTGGCGCTCGAGCCGGAAGCCAGCGCCGCCAGCGTCGACTTACTACACCCCGTAGTAGCGCACAGTCATCGTCAAGGGCGTGCCGAATAGTCAAGCCAGGTGACGCTCCCAGAGGAGAACGATCCTCGCGAGGGGCGGTAAGTATTGGGCCAGGTGACGCTGTTCGAAAAAAGTGGAGCTGACAAAGATGACGGTCTCGCGCCTTGTCCGCTCTTCGTTCTCTCTCTTTCTTGGAGGCCGTGTACTCCTCCTCCTCCTCCTCCTCCTCCTCCTTCTCCCCTTCCTTTGCCTCCTTGTCTCCTCTGCCCGCTTCTCCTGCGCCCTCCACAATTATTCAATACGGATACTACTATCCCTCTTCCCATGATGACGGTTTGAAAGTGTTAGCCCCCCCCCCGCGTACTGTTTCTTACACACAGGATTCCCCGGAGTTGGGTTTTCGCCTGCATTTGCTTCCCAAATGCTGCTCTCGCTGAGGCGCCGGCCTCATTTTCGGGCCCCGCTCAATCCGAATCGTGCTCCCGCTTCAACGCTGGCCTCATTTCCGTGCTTCCGCTCGTTCCGAATCGTGCTCCCGCTGCAGCGCTGGCCTCATTTCCGCGCTTCCGCTCGTTCCGACTCGTGCTCCCGCTGCAGCGCTGGCGTCATTTCCTGTGCCATGCCACGGCATGCAATGCAATGCTAGGTTGATACTACGCTTTGCTGTGCTCTTCTACGCCATGCCACGCCGTGCTCTACAATGCATCGCGTACCCTTTCGGGATCATTGCCCTGCTTGACATCCGACTGTGCGAGTAGAGAGGGGATCTACGCCATGGTAAGGGATGGGAGGGAGGGGTAAGATGTCAGATATGACGCGAGCGCACCTAGCTTGTCCCTCTCCCCCTCCTCCTCCTCCTCCTCCTCCTCCTCCTCCTCCTCCTCCTTCTCCCCTTCCTTTGTTTCCTTGTCTCCTCTGCCTGCTTCTCCTGCGCCCTCCACAATTACACAATATGAAAATACTCTCCCACTTCCCCTGATGGCGTCCCGTAAATATCCGACACCCCCCCGCGTATTGTTTTTACACACAAGAATCCCGGGAAACGGGTTTTCGCTTCGGTTTTTTTTCCCAACCATCCTGTGGTGTTGGGTCCTCGTTTTGAAGAGACGGTGCCCCGCGTTCTCCTTCCTTCCTTCCTTCCTCCCGCTGCCTCCTCCCCCTCCTCCTCCCTCCTCCCCGTCTTCCCTGCGTTTCACCCCCCCAGTACACCGTTTTCACAGCCCATAATGGAACACAGAGGACCGAATCCCCAGTGCTGCCGCCCGCATCGTCCACCACACCCTATTCGGCACCCCCACCATCACACGTTTCGTAGGCCCCATAGAGCACCGCCGAAGCCCCCAGTGCAGCCCCGCCCGCATGCGTCCCCCACCCCAATTCGGACACTTCCACAACTCGCCTTCGTGGCCACCATAGGAGCCCGCCGAGGCCACCAAGTCAGCCCGCCCTCATGCGTCCCCCACACCCATTCGCCACACCCATCACACGCTCGTGGCCACCTAGAGCTCTGCCGAAGGCCCTAGTGCTGCCCCCGCATGCGTCCCGCACACCCATTT